CCCCGCCGTCACCAAAAGCTCCCATCCACTGCCTAGTGCACCCGATAGCTCTGGGGCTGCAGACGCATTCGCCCCCCCCCCCCTCCTTCCCTCCCTTGTTTGAGCGAGGTACCACCAAGTTGGCTGACTGCCGGTTTATATCGCCCGAAAGGGACAGACAGGCCTCGCAAGGCGGAAGCTGACCACTCTCCTCGGTCGCTTGTTCTCCCTGGCTCCCCCCCATTGAATGTGCTTTTCTGGCGTCCTCCGACCCAGTTACCCCCCCCTGATACGCCCCGGCCTCCGAGCAATCCGGACCTCCACCACGTCCGGCCCTTTGGCTCTTCTTGCTTGGCACCCAAGTCCCGCTCGTACGTACATGAGCGCCTCAGCCGCCCAGAACGCAAGGGCGCCTCCCCCGCAGCCTCGCCAAGAAAGCATTGACCCCTTGCCTCCCGATATGGGCACCCATATCATGTAGCGCCCTCCGTCTGCCCTTCCGCCGAGACGCTTCGTTGCAGCACTCCCCCCCCCCCCTACTCCCCCCCACCCCCGCTCCCTAGCCCCTCCCTCCCTGCCATCGGGTCCTTGGCGAAGCGACCGATAGCATGAACCCCCCAGGGGGCTTCCAGCCCGGGCGCCCACACCCCGCCACGGAAGAAGACAAGAGCACCTTGATCTCGGCGCAGGCCGGCCCCGGCCATGATGACTACACTTCGGAGTACCCCCCTCACGAGGGCCCCAAGCCGGGGTCCTACTTCGCCGGGGGCCTTCTTCCGGGCGTGCCACCCCGGCCCGACAATGGGGACTTCCCCGGGTCCGGGCCCGGATCCGGGGCCAACACCGTGTCCGCCTCCTCCTCCGGCGGCTTCTACCTCGAGGAGGGGTCCTTCCATGCGACGGGGGACCTGCCACCGCCCCTGGCCCCGGGGGCTGGCGGGCCCGCTGCTGGAGCCTACATGGGACTGTCGCTGTCGAGCGGCGGTGGCGGCTTCGGGGCCCCCTCGGCCGATGTTCACCTGGCCCCCGGCGGGCTGGCGGACTACTCCGGTATTTTCCACGCCCACGCGGGCCAAGTGCAGCAGCCCCCGCACCAAGTCCAGCCGGCTGGGGACTTCTCCCAGCAGGCCCTTCTGACCATTCCCGCCAGCCAGGGCTCCTCGTACCAGGCCCAATTCCTCGGGTATCACCCTCTACAGGGTGCCGGGCCCGGGGCGGATTTGGGCGTGGCCGGCGGCGCGGGCGGTGGCAATAGCACCGGCAATGGAAGCGTCGGCGTCGGCGTCGGCGTCGGCAGTGGCGGTGGCGGGCCCGGCGCAAGCAACGGCACCACTGCCGGCAATGGCACCGGCCACCCGGCCTTCGGGGGGATGATGCATCCGGGCGCCGGGCCTGGGCGTTTGGCCGAGGAGTCGGATTTCGTTTTCGCCGGCTCCTCCGCGGCCGGGGCCGCCGGCCTCGCCCTCGGGGCCCCGGGGCATGCCTTCCACCCGACCCACCATGCGGCCATGCACCATGGCCAGCTGCACCACGGCCAGTTGCACCATGGCCAGCTGCACCACGGCCAGCTGCATGCCCATCAGGGCCAGCATGCGCACCATATGCTGGCACAGCAGCAGGTCCACCATCCCCACCACCACCCGCACCTGGCCCAGGTCCATGCCTTCCATCACGGCCACCACCATGGGCCACACCATGGGCATCACCACATGCCGGGGCTCGCATCGCAGGCGGTCCCGCGCGAGCTGATCGGCCTCTCGAGCGACTTCATCTCCGGCATCATCCAGCAGCAGAATGCCCAGACCACCACGGCCGGGGGCAGCCTCAGCGAGCTGTCGCCGCCCATCAACAAGAATGTCTCCCTGCCCGGGTCGCGGCCCAATGCCCTGAACATGTCGCTGCTCATTGCCAAGATCCGGACCCCGACGCACACCGGCGGCGAGCTGACCGCCGACGTGGGCATCACCCTGTGTATGCGGCTCAACCGGCTGACCAAGATCTTTTGCTGCACCGAGCCCTCCTGCAACAAGGCCTTCCACCGGTTCGAGCACCTGAAGCGCCATCACCTGATGCACACCGGGGAGAAGCCCTTCAAGTGCGAGACCTGCAACAAGTACTTCAGCCGCCGGGACAACCTGGCCCAGCATAAGAAGATCCACAGTCGCGACGCGCGGAAGTCCTCCACCAGCTGCCCCTCCGGCGGGCCGGGCAATGACCCCGGCGATGAGGACCCGGTGGATGATGAGTGCCTCTCGGAGCCGGGAAGCCCGTTGGGCCTGGAGCCGGGGGCCGTGGCCCCGGGTGGCAGCCTGCGCGACGAGTATTCCGACGTGGGCTCCGAGTCGGCGACCTCCTCCTCGGCCCCGGGCAGCCGGCGCGAGTCGCTGCATGACATGCCGCTGGCCGTGGGGGGGCTTCGAGGCCCCGGGGCCGTGGAGTATGGCGACCAGGATCTCCGGTCGGACCCGCCGGTGGCGGCCCCGGGGGCTGGCGGCGAGCGCCGCAACAGTGCCAACACCGAGCTCGCCCGACTGGGCCGGATTTCGTTGGAGTCCTCCGATCCGCCGGTTCCGTCCGGGCCCGGGGAGGGCGACGACCGCCTGGCCCCGGGCAGCCTGCCCGGGCACGATCCCACCCGTGGGCCCTGGGAGCGCATGACCAGCATGTTACAGGGGGCAGGCGCCACTGCCGGGCGGTCCCCTAGTGGCGGTACGTCCTCCACAGCGTGTGTCTTTGGTGTCGGCCGCACCGGGGCCTTCACTTCGCGGCCTGGGTCGGCTGCATGTCCGTCATCATTGTGTTCTAACTCTCCGGTCCTGACGTCACGCGTTGTTTCCGTGCGCGCGCGCGTGTGTGTGTATGTGTGTGTGTGTGTGTATGTGCGCCCTTGTGGCGACCCGGATGTTGTGCTTCGCGTTGGCGCTTCTCCAATCCAGGTCTCATGATGCATGGTGCGGCTATGCCGCCGGATCTCCCGTCGGAGATGTCTCGTACGCTGCCCCATCGCCCCCCCCCCCCCCCCCCCTCGCATGTGCTCTATGTCGCGTGTCGCGGCACCTTTGCCGCACGTCCATGGGACCCTGAAACTGACATGGCCCCTGCCTTGGGTGGGATCCTTTTGCAGAGCCCCTGCTGCCCGCACGTTCGAACCGGAACTCCTGGCCGCCGCCCGGTGGCCCGGTGTTCTTCCCGCCTTCTGCCGACCCCGGAGCCAGCCTCCACAGTGCGGCCTACTCGGCGGGCTCGAGCCAGGGCGGCATGGGCATGCCGGCGGGGTCGCTTCTCGCCCAGCCGACCGGTCCTGCATCGGACATGGTTCTCGAGGAGGACAGCCGCGAGGGGGGCGCCGGCCTCGGTGGCGAGGGCAGCCTCCTCCGACCCCTGCTGCACCACCATTCGCACGCGGCGCAGCACTCGCACTTCCACCATGGGCAGTATGCCTCACAGCAGCAGCAGCAGCAGCAGCAGCAGCAACAGCAAAACTCGCCCTACCATCAGCCCCACGCCCAGTACCAGTACCAGCCGGGCCCGCCATCGCAATACCACCCGCCGGCCTACCACCCGCACCCGGACGAGGAGGATGCACAGGAAGGTGACGACCAGCCGTCATCCTCCCGGCGTGGCAGCACCGAGCACTTTCTGGCATCGCGCTCGGACGGCGCCTCCCCGAAAGAGGCCGCACACCGGGGCCTGCTGCAGTCGGCGGCCTTCCGGTCGTGCTTCTCCAGCGAGAGCCTCCCGCTCAATGTCCACCGGAATGACTCGAACCTGGGGCTGGGCCCCGGCGGGCCGACCGGCTTCGAGGGCGGGCTCTTTGACATGGGCATTGCTGGCATGCGCGGCGGCCCGCCGGGCGGGGTGGTGGTGGTGGCCGCCTCGCCGGCCGCCTCGCCGGCCCCCTCGCCCGCGGCGCACCACACCAGCGCCTTGGCGGCCACCGGGGCCGGGCCTTCGCCAGGCCCGCCGACCGGGTCCCCCTTCGGCGGCCCGGCCCCGGGGCGCATCCTTCGCCGGTCGCAAAGCAACATCGAGCACACCGGCAAGCCGCTGTCCTTCCCCCCGGGGTCTTCCTTTGCTTCGCTGTCCATGGGGCTCTTCGGCGAGGGGAGCTTCGGTCTTGGCCAGCCGATGCCGCCCGGGCCGGAGCACAACGACGCCGGGGGCTACTTCCGGTCGGTGCCCTTCTCCGGCAATCTCTCCTTCGGCACCGGGCCGGGGGGCGACTTCCAGGCATTCCATGGGACCGGTGGGGGCCCGGGCTCCGGCCCCGGCCCCGGCCCCGGCGGCCAGTATGCCAGCCCCACAGGCCCCAGCGCAGGCGGCTGGCCGTCTGCCGATGCGCCGGACAGTGACTCCGGCACGCGGGTCACACGCTTCCCCGATGATGGCCAGGCCCGGCGGGCGGCGCAAGCGGCACAGGCTGCTGCGGCCGCCGCGGCCGCGGCCGCGGCCGCTGCCACTTCCCCCAGCCCGGCTTTTGGCGGCCCCGGAGCGGGGCTGGCTGCCGGCGGTGGCACCGGGCCCGGTGGATGCGGCGGCTGTGGCGGCTGTGGCGGATGCACTGGCACCGGGGCCCCGGGCAGCGGGCTGCCCTTCTGCGATGCATCCAGCGCGGCGGCGGCCGCCGCAGCCGCCGCCGCCGCCGCCGCCGGCAACAGCACCCCCCTGCGCCTGGGTGCCTCGACCCCCACATCAGGCATTCGGACCCCGAAACGCGTGTCTCGAACACGCAGTCACATCGAAACCGCCCGAGGCATCTCCGACTACAAGCACAGCACCGAGCTCTCGCCGGATGATGATCTGGGCCCGGGCCCGGTGTCGCCGGCTCCGGCGAGCTTCGGCGGTCGGCGCATCGGCAAGCGCCGTCCCTCGCCGGCGGTCAACTCCCCGCGCGTCAACCGGCCGCAATTCCCCCCCGATCGGAAATTGTCGGACGTCGGCCGGCTTTTCCCCAGCGGTGGCCCGCATCACCATCAGCAGCAGCAGCAACACCAACAGCAGCAACAACACCAACAACACCAACAGCAGCAGCAGCAGCAGCAGCAGCAGCAGCAGCAACAGCAGGCCGGTAATGGCCAATACCCCGGGGGTGGCTCGACACCCGGTACTAGCTTCTACGCCTCGGGGCCTGGCGCCCTGGAGGATGGCGGTCTGCTGCCTCCGCCGCCGCCGCCGCCGCCGCTGCAGTCGAGTTCCGGCGAAGGCTGCTCCGGCAATATGGCATCCGGCCAGCACTTCGACTCGCGGTTCCCGTCCTTCGGGGGGCCGAATGCACGCTCGGGCAGCTTCGACGCCACGGCCGGGCAGCCGCCGGTCCCCGCGCCGCCTGGGCATGGTGGCAGCGGCGCGGGCAGCGGCGGCCATGGCAGCGGCAATGCCCTGTCCATGGCGCAGCTGTCTACGTCGTCCGCCTCGGCAGCCGGGGCCTCTTCCACGGGGTCATCCTCCTCGACCAGTCCCTTTGGGCTTGGGCCTGGCGCCGGCGCCGGCGGCCAATACGGGCTTTTGCAGCCACCCGCGGCCGACAGCGAGCTCACCATGCGTCGCTGCCTGAGCGCCAGCTCCACCGATTCCGCGGGGCTCAGCACTGGCGGCGGCGGCGGCGGCGGCGGCGGCGGTGGAGGCGGTGGTGGTGGCAATACCACAGGCCCGGCAGCCAACACACCCGCTCGGCCCCTGAGCTTCCACCACCACCAACTGCTGATGCTGGTGGAGGATGTGGACCAGGCGCCCACAAACATCCTCGCCGGCGGTGGGGGAGATGCCCGTACCCCCGGAGGCGCGGGAAGGGTGTCCAGCGGGGGGCCCTCGCCGGGCCCCTGGCTGGGCCCATCCCCGGCCATGGGCACATCTGCCTCGCCGAGCGCCAACGGCGGGACCAGCGGCACCGGAGGCGGGGCGGCCGTGCCTCCTCCCCCCCCGGCACTGGTCATCCACCAAGATGGCATCTTGATGGCCGGGCCGGCCGGCAGTGGCACCGGGCGCCGGGCCTCCGACGCCTCCTACCCAGGGTCCGCCGGGCTGGCCTCATCGCCAGCGGCGACCCAGGCCCCGCCCCCGCCCCCGCCGTCGTCCCATCAGCAGCAGCAGCAGCAGCAGCAGCAGCAGCAGCAGCAGCAGCAGCAGCAGCAGCAGCAGCAACA